CCCCCCCCCAGCAACTCTATATACCCCAGGTAAAGGAAATACAACTAATGTATTAATTTCCACATGTGTCTCTCCATTCTTCCTTCTGCCAACGGTGTCGCAGTTTCTCGTCACTCCCGTTTTTGTGCTTAGTGCGTACGCATGGGTTAGAGTTTGCGTGCACATTTTCCCGTTAAGTTAGTATTTTATAAATCGCAAACATTGCGTAGAAACTGGCATACGCCATTTTTTGAGCGTATATCCCTTTATAAACAAACTGAAGCAAAAGATTGACCTTGACAGGGCACAGTCCGGTATGTAATGACATACTAAACATTGCTGCCTACATTTAAACGGCAGGACTCAATTCTCAGGTGCCTACATTGCAAAAACTGAAAAGTTGACTTTAATTACATGTATTATGTCAACAAATGCCACATAACTGTATTAGGTTAGTTGAAAGCAATAATATTAAGTTGAAGCTAATATTTTTTATTTAAACGTAATAGTATTGCTTTCAACTAACCTCATACAGTTATGTGAGTTCTGTTGATACAACACATTTAATGCTGTAAGTATTCCTCCTGTTGGAAATGGACATAACAAAAACCCTTTCAATGTTACTCATGGAAGACAAAATCCATTTTTTTTGCAAAAATGTGCACGCACCAGTTTTGCTTTGAACTATCTCTCATTAAATACCTGATCATACATGTGTCCTAAGCCTGGTTTCTCCTCCCCTTTGCAGTGATCGACGCCCCCAGCCAGGTGGATGTGCGCGACGTGACGGACTCCACAGCGCTGGTCACATGGTCCCAGCCCGTGGCTCAGGTGCACGGGGTCAGCATCTCCTACGGGCCCAGCTCCAGCCCCGCGGATCGCAGCGTGGTGGAGCTGTCCTTCAGTGACACCCAGTACCACCTCGGAGGCCTCTCCCCCGACACCCAATACGAGGTGTCTCTGTCGTCTCGCATGGGCGAGCAGAGCAGCATTCCTGTGTTCCAGTCTTTCCTTACAGGTGACGCTCAAATAACAATCTGATGTGCTGTAAGGCAAGAAAATAGATCTACCTGAGCCTGTTTTATTCCAACCACAGCTATTAACTGCTTATCAGAGGTGGAAAAAGTACCCAGATCCTGTACTTAAGTAAAAGTAGAGTGTAGGAATACTCTACAGTAAAAGTCCTGCTTTTAAAATTGAAGTCAAGTAAAATTAAAACAGTATAAGCATCAAATATACTTAAAGAACCAAAAGTAAAATAATATTATATATTGTTTTTATATTTGTATGCTGCAGAGCTTGTGAATTTACTCCAGGTGTAACCGAAGTCTTATTTAAGAGTTTTCATAACATTAATCAAAATCTTTAAAATAACTAAAGGTACTAAATAAATGTAGTGGAGTTAAAGTACAAAATGTAATACTAGTGGGGTTGTAGTACAAAGCAGCAACAATTGAAGCACTCAAGTAAAGTACAAGTACCTCAAAATTGTATTTAAGCACAGCATTTGATTAAATCTTTGTTACTCATCACTGCTGCTTATCATAGTCAAGTTTAGCAAGCTGTGTGTCAGCTGGGGGGTTGTATGTTTAATATCAGGCTGGTGTGTGTTCCTTGAAGGACAAAATGTGTTCACAATGATTTCACAATCTTGATGTCTTGGGTCTTGATGAGAAATACAGTTGAGTTTAGGTTAGAGTATATTTCCATGTGCTTAAATGTAATTTGTGTGTGGTAGACCTGGATGCCCCCAAAGACCTGCAGACAGTGGAGCTGACGGACGAGAGCATCACTCTTGAGTGGAAGAACAGCCAAGCTCCAGTGGAAAACTACCGCATCAAGTACGGGCCTCTGTCAGGGGGGGAGCACGGAGAGCTGCTCTTCCCCCCCGGACCCCGGGACACCACCACAGCCAAGATAACCGGTATTGATCCCAGCTACAAACTATAGCTACAAGCTGCAGGCTAAAGCTACAAGCTACAGAAACACACTGAAAAAACTGAACCGTTGACTTTAATTAAATGTATTATGTAAACAAATTTCACATGATTACTGTATTAAGTTACTGGAATGCAACCTAATATTTTTTATTTTAACGTAATATTATTGCTTTGAACTAAACCTTATACAGTTAAGTGAAATCTGTTTACTTGATACGCTCAATTAAAGTCAACATTTCAGTTGTTTCAAAGCAGACACAATTTACAAATAGGCCTATAGCTTAAGTCGTCTTTCCAAAGCTCTAACATGATTTTAGGGGCTTCATCAGTGCTTGAAGTTGTCATGGATAAATAGTATATAGAATATATTTCACAGTTTATATATCTCTACATAGATATAATTAGGTACACCTGTTATAACTGTCCTGGTCTAATGTTAACTGGTATGTTTTAGATTTGAGCTGATGGTGCTATATTCAGCCCCCCACATATTATTACACACGTTCATTCATTAGGATAAACCCTTGAGAGAAACGTTCTTGGGGGTGGGGTCCTAACGCATAACACAAAGAATAACAAGACACCAACAAGGACATTATAGTAATAGAGTGGTGCAGTGACGAGTCCTAAAACCCGGAAGTGAGTTAGTATTTTACCACTACCGGTTCCCTCGTCTCAGAGTCAATGGGATTTCTCCATAGGATTTTGGAACATAGCTCGAAATAAGGTCTGTGGAAAACTAACCTGTTTGATAAATGCACGTTTTGTTCAGCCGGATAATCTCCAAATGTCTACCCTACTTTTATAATTTTCGAATCATAAATCTATTCGCTAGAGGCAAAAGGCTAACGTTATGCTATAAACGAACTACAGCCGAGTACAGCAGGGTCGCACGACTTCAACGCCACGCCAACTGAAGATCGATATTCAAAAATACGGATTAAAAATGTTGAAGCGTTTGTTTTAACAGTTTGCAAGAGTGCAGGTACTTGCTTTCAAGCAGAACAGGGCAAACAAACTTAGAGTGTTTACGTGTTCGGCGTAATGACGTACAACGCCCTCCACTACTTCTGTAGTCCTATTCAGCCACTTGTTAACAACCATCATTTTTCAGACAAGTAAACTCTTCAAAAATCACCAGTGGGGTCACTGCTGATGTATTTAATGTCGTAGAACAAAATGTGATCCGTCTCTTAAATTTGTGTCAACCACGGACCTTATTTCCAGATATTTTCCAAAATCCTATGGAGAAATCCCATTGGCTCTGAGACGAGGAAACCAGAAGTGGTACAATGCTAACTAACTTCCGGGTTTTAGGACTCGTCACTGCACCACTCTATAGAAAAGACAAGAAAAAAATGGCAATCAACAATTAAACAGACGACCAAGACAATAAAAAACATTAGAGAAAAAGTACTTGTATTTGTAGAAAGTTGTCCAGCACTCGCGATGTACCGCATATACGCCCAAACAGCTTTCAGTACAACAGTCTACACGCCAAGATTGGTAAACCAGATATGTTGAGTACCCCAAAGTTACGTGTAAAAAATGTATAGTATGGTTCCCCTTATTTGGTGCAATTTTCGTAATTAGCATAATTAGCATGAGTAGCGTAAATTAGCATCAATAAGCATTATAGCGTTCAATTTGGACCACATTTAAAGAGTTCTGAGGGTTATTAGGGATTCTGGATCCATTTCTATCCACATTTTCTGAATTAAAATTGGCAGTTTAAACCAGAGACAGGCCCTATTTCAACTCCTGGTGGGATAATTTTGATAAATATACTGAATATTTTGAGGATGCTGGATTAATTGGATCTGATACATTATATTTCAAATAGCTGAAATCACTTCATCTAAGTTATAAAGTGTAGTATATATCTGAACAATGCAGAACATTTACATTTTTATTCACACAACATTACACTCAATATATCAAACAATATATAACATAATGTAGTCCAGTATAGTATCACCTTTAACCATAATGTCAGTAATAAACACATTTCCATCAATGTGAACGAAAGCTGAACATGATGATGTTGGCCTGCATTAGATGGTGGCAGGGGTACCTAACAAAGTCACCACTGAGTATACATATATACAGTATATATACTGTATGTATATACACTATATATACAGTAGATACAGGCACAGCAGGTCTCCAACTGATCCCACATGCTGAAGCGCAGCAGTGTAAGGAAGTGAACCTTTAATTTGAACAGCTTCTGGGTAGCCAGGTTATGTATTTGCTGTTGTTTATAATGTGGACTAAAGAGATGAATCTTTATTCAGAATTAATTTGTAATTATCTCATCACATTCCATCAGAGGAGCATACCTTGCCCAGTGACAGTGGACAGTGTGTATGAACAGTAACTTTGATCATTGAACATTTATCATGAACATTTATGACAGTTCGACTGATAGCAGCTATATCAGAAACACAATCCCGTCCTGCTAAGCAGAGCGAGCAGATTTCATTCTTCCTCTGCTCTCAGTTCACTTAAGCCCATTACCACCTCGCATCCAAATGACACGGCTGAACACCGTCTGTGGGAAAAAAAAGATAGAGTGTGAAGTGTTTATTCTACTAATTCTTTGGGCAATTGTCAGTGGTGCTCCCTTAAAATTGAAATGGTCAGTGTTATATTCAGCTGGCTCATTTCCTTTGTTTTGTGTCCTGAAATGTTTTCCCTTCTACAAAGGCTCACTTTATTAGAAAACCCCCCAGGGGGGTTTGGCCTTCAGACTTTAAATGGAATAACACAGCCGCTTGTTTCCCTCTGAGAACTTGCTCAAACAAAAAAACGGCTGTGTTTTCATCTATGTGCACGCTGACATTATAAAGCCATGCTTTGAGGCGGATGTGTTTTTTTTCAGTGTTTCTACACTGTGAGCATGGCAGGATTAGACACCATGAGAAAAAAAAAAAAGCTTCCAAAAACAGTCTAATAGTGTTTTGTCTAGCTCAATTCTTTGTCCTTGGGAGGCCCATCCCATGGAAATAAAGCAGTGTGTCCATTCAGCCGACATCCCACTCCGCTCCACACACACCTCAGCACTTCTTTCACACAGTTATTATCTGTAATTGCCTTCACGCTCGTGATTTTATTGATAATGAGTTTCCTGGGCATTAGGTGTAATTTCATGCTGCAAGGCTCTGCGTGTGATGACCTCTGTGGGAGTTAATAAAGGAATTAGAGGCGATCAGGCCAAAAGAGGGCTTCATTTTGGACACCAAAGAGCCTCCAGAGCCTGCTGTATCATAGCAAGTAGCTCCGCGACAAGGGCCCTATAGACCCATCAATGATGTTCCACAGTGAGCGCAGGCTTACCATGAAATGCAATTAGGCTGCAATCTATTGTGCAACCATACCACATGAGAGCGTTTTTGTGTTTGCTATAGGCATTGGAGCCATTAGCCAAAACAGCTGGCCACTTGACTACAGTGCCTCCCCATCGTTCATGCGCTGACACCTCAGAGCAGCGGTACAAACACAACATGACACTGCTTTTTATTTCTGCCCTGCTATGTAGGCCTGAGACCTGGCACAGAGTACGGGATGGGCGTAACCGCGGTGACGGATGAGCGGGAGAGTCGGCCGACGACCACCAACGCAGTGACTGGTAACACACAATCACTTTATGCACTCAATGTTTTAATTTTACTTATTTTTAGGATGTTGCTATTCAGACAATAACAAACATTTTATTTTCAGAAAGTAATACGCAAAAGCAAAAAAAATTATATATACAGTATATATATACACAGTGTGTCTGTCCGTCCATCCCTCCGCCTGATTGTCTTTCTGTCTGCCGGTCTGAAACTCCACTTTACCAAGTCTCTCGTTTTTTCTCTCATCTATACATTTACAAATTGTACATTTGTAATTTACAAATTGTATATTTCCAATTTTACAAAATTGTAAAATTCCATTAGCACTGGATGCTCCCAAGGATCTGGCTGTTACGGAGGTGACGGAGAAAACCATGATGCTGCAGTGGAAACGCCCCCTGGCTAAGTTGGACTCCTTCAGACTGGTGTACGTGTCGGCTGACGGCCACAGGGCGGAGGACGTGCTGCCGGGCAGCTCCGAGTCCCACCTCCTGAGGGGCCTGACAGCCGGTATGCTGTACACCGTCAGCATCATCGCTGAGAGGGGCCGCGGGACCAGTGCACCCAGTACCATCTCAGCAGCCACAGGTCAGCACCGCAGGAAGTCCTCCCATCATCTAAATTAATGAGTGTTAGAGTCTTTACATTAAGGGGGTGTGACTTAAACCTGAATTATTACCTTTATAATATCATTTTAGGGAAATGTGAATCTGAATCAGAATCAATGTACTTAATTAGTCCCACAGCGGGGACATTACAGCATTACAGCAGAAAGTAGCATAGCAGGTAAAAATAAGGCATCCAATAATAAAGAATAACCTAACTTATTACATTTAGAGAAGAAAAGCACACATTAGTAATAATAGAATGAAAATAAAGACAAGTAAATACACATCCTATAGCTAAAAATGAGGAGCAGCGATTAAAAGAACTAAGAGACATAATAACATATTAAGGTTTTGAGACATTATAGAAAAGTTTGGACATTTATAACAATGTATGTTTTTCACATATAGGTGAATATTATACAGCATTGCAACAGTATTGTGTATGCATTGGTATGAGAGCACAGTCATTCAAATGCATCATGAACAGAGACAACTGAAAACTTGTTAAACTCACTTATATGTGCGTTTTTAGGCATTTAAGAATCAATAGGCTAGTTTTTTTTCTTCTTTTTGAGCATACTTTACTTTTTTTAAACAATGCACAATAGTTTCTTCTATATTTACATTGCATAATAATCCACTTTATTACTGTGCAAACAAAAATTTCTTAAAGCATTCTCATGATTAACCCTCCTGTTGTCTTCGGGTCAAATCTGACCCCCATGTGAATTACACCTGGCACACACAAACACACACACACAGAACAATTTGACACATTTCATGCTCTTATGTGCCCATCCCCCAACATTGATCACACCTGGCACACACAATACATGTTCAGTGTCTATTCTTTGTATATTTACTGCAGTTGTTCATGTATACCAGTAGTCTGATACAATATGTACAGTTTGAAAGGGGTATTAAATGAAATTTGGTGATGATTAATGTTTTTTGTGTTAATGTAATATCAGTTAAAACAGGACCGGTCAAATTTGACCGCGAACACCAAAGTAAGGGGGGGGGAAACAAAGACAATAGGAGGGTTAAGTGAATATTTCTTAGTGCAAGCAATTTAGCAGAGCTTTGTTAACAAAATAATACTTTTAAAAGCGGTAGCCATTCTTGAAATCAGCCACTTCAAGAAGTGTTAGGGTTACGTTCCCGATGTAAAGGACACCTATCATTCCAGATCTCGGACACAGCCTATTTGAATCATCTCAGTAAATCAAAATTTTAAGCTGTCGATCCATCCAAACAACAACAACAACCTCAAGTAGCAGACACGTGGATAGTTTCTAAAAGCACCCTGGATTACTTTCTATAAAGAAATAGTCCCAATGAGGACTCTTACAGAAGGGGACATTGAGAGTGAGTGGGTTGGTTTGCACTGCTCAGTATTTGTTCAGCCAAAAAGCCCTGATAAAGCTGCCTGTGAGAGGCAGTTAGCACATAGCTGGTAGCTAAAGAACCAGGTTGCTAGAAGGAGTATGAATATTGAACTTTTCCAGGTTACACTTGAGACAAAACAACTTTACTAAATTAACTTGATGAAAGTGGTTAAGTTGTGCCCTTTTTTCCATATCAGTATGTAGGCTGAGATATTGAGTATCTGAGTCTGTATGTAGCCCACTGTGAGCTCACTAGCTGGTAGCACAGGGTTAAAGAATAACTATAGGTTCATTTGTTTGTCCTTCAGTACTGCAGCTAAACAGAGGCAATTCATTGAATTAATTGTTAGCTTCTGAATGTAAGTCACTCTGTCTCTACCCCCTACCACCCTACGGCTCATTTATAGCATGTGGGCTTATTTTTCTTTCCCCCGTTTTTTTAAACCAAAATAAGAAAAGACAAATGATGTGATTGTGGCGTTTTCCTCGCGCTGCGGTTAGACCGCTTCCAAGGCTAACATTTCACAAGTATATCCTCCAGTTATGCAACGAGTGCCCATTAAATGCATGGCTCCGGGCAAAAATCAATACGGCATGAGGGAAAAGTTGGTTAGGTTCAGAATAAAACTTTCTGTCCTTTGTTGCATTTCTTTGGTTTGCACGCTGCCAAGAACAGCATACAGACGTGTGTGTGTGTGTGTGTGTGTGTGTGTGTGTGTGTGGTGGGGGGGTATGGACATGTGTACAGCCGGCACAATGTTCATTCATGTGATAATTGTCGGCGTGAGCCCGGCTCCGCCTGGTTTTGTGCTATTTGACCACGATGAACTGTGGCTCTGTCAGATAAAAGGCCACATGCTGTTAGAACATTGTCTCTCAAATCAGCAGCCCTCTAATCCTCAGCCGGGCCAATCTGCAGCCTTTATCGTCTCCAGACACATAGCACAAACACACTGATCGCACTTGTTTTAAAGGAGGGATTGAAAAATGGGGGGGGGGGGTAATTGTGTCTGATAATTGCAGAACGAGGAACAAGGTTTTTTTTTTTTCTTGTTTCAGAAGTGCTGTTTAAGTGACCAACCTAGAATTAATAACACGCCATTGTGTGATTCGAAAAAAAACAAGATGTCAAATAAAGGATGAAGTGATACAATTGGGGAAATTAGAAGATTTGAACTGACCAGTTGACAACAAGAGTTGCTCGGGATACAATGAAGGGAGTGTTTGTGTATCAGGAGGACTCTTATAAACACGTTTGTGTGTTAGGGGTATTAAAGTTGTATCAGCTGTGCAGAAAGTATTCTACTGTAGGTGTATGTTTGATCAACAGGGTTGTTCAATGTATCCACCATTACACCTCGCTCGGGGCATTATGTTGTGGTGTCATCAGACAAAAGAGCTGATACTGGAGAACATAGAGCATGATCTTCCTGCATGCACTGCATGATCTACGAGGTTCTCACATTAAAGACAGATACACTATTACGATAAAAGATAGACCAACGCTGTGGCATGATATCAATGAGTGTGTATCAAATGGCAGATATCAAAATGAAAGGCGATATCTCAAAAGAACATTTTGATTTAGACAGAACACACTTTTACATCTGCACGTGACAACCAGAACTGAAACGGGGCTTATACAGCTGCCTCACTGGGAAAACAATTTAAATTCCAGATTCCTTCACCTCAGTAAAATGGATTATGAACCAAACGTTGTTAGTGCTCACCTCACTGAAAAAATATGTTTTTGAAACTGCAGTATCTTGTTCCTTACCAGAAACAGCCATTTTACTTGCTAACTTGCTATTTTTTGACGAAGCTACTTTCGAGTTCAGAGAAAGTATGCAGCAACATTGTTGACAGCAACCAGAGGGGTTTGTGTTACATTTGATTTTTGTGCACCACTAATACAATTATTTGTAATGGGGCAGAAGTCTCGGGCCAACATTGTCAAACCTGAGATAATTTAACCTCAGCAATTTAGTATATACTATATATGTCAATATATGAGGCAATATACTTTCCTCAATATCATCTGGAAATATCATGAATGTATTGAAAGAACTGGATACAGCACTGAAGGCAGGACTCCGACCATTCCTATGAAAGTTGTTCAGTGGCGCATGAAGCCAAAATGGCCTGAATCTGCCAGAGCAACAGTAACAGTATCTGAGCTAATGGTTGGAGAGGGAAAATCATTTTGGGTTTGGCTTTTAGCGCATTTTTCAGCTTCAGGACATAATGATTAAAATAAGGGCTATTCCTGTGATTATACTGGGTAGTTGATTTAGCTCTAAAAAATGGGATCTGTGGATTTACAGACGTCTCTTTCCCGATGTAATTCAATTGGAAAAAATGTTTTTGGGCCCAACGACGTCTTCGCCTGACACGGAAGTTGTAGTACCACAGTTTGGCCACTATGAACATTTGCTACATAGTCCCGCGCACATCCTGGGGGCTTGGGAAAGCTAGATACAATGTTGGTGTGGTTTAAGCTAACTCATGTTAATGGTTTATGGGGAAGACACTATAATGTTGCTGTAAAATGTTTTAAATATAAATGATTTGTGAGAAATTATACAAGTCATTGTCTTTTCATACAGCAGCCTTAACTTATGGGTGTTGTTGTTGACTAATACATATACACTTATAGCCGCCTATGTGTTGTAAGGTATTAAATGCGTATATACTGTCTCTTAATGATAAGTTGGGAGATCTATAGTATTATTTCCTGCAGCTGGAAAAAAGTATGCAGCTTTTACCACAATGCTGACTCAAAATCACCCATCATGAATTTCCGTGTTCCTAGCTCTTACAGTATAAGCCATGATCAGCTGACTCCAGCAACCCCCCCCCCAACTGCTGTCTGCTCCACTCGGCCGCCCAGTGAAAAGGGGATAATGGGAACCTTGGTGTTTACCTGCACTATCTATCTCCATCTCTTTCTAATCTACTCTCTGAATGCTTGCACTCTCAATGGATTTAACAGGCTGCTGCACTGCATGCCCCCCCCCCCCGCCCCCCCCACCATAGGTTTGAAGTGGACGGTGTACTTCTGCCATAGCGGCGGGGCTACTCTGCACCTTCAAATGTTAATGGATAATTCACATCCGTTAATGTGCACAAGCTGCATCAGCATGTCTGCCTGCTGCGTTCTGTCTTTAAGTCTTCCCACTTATATGGTAATATGGAGGAGATGGCTATAGGCAGCCATTGATAATGAGGCTGTTTTTTCCCTTGGCCTTTTGTAGTGGAAATAAGGGAATATTTCCACTCTTTTCTCTCGACAGCTAAATGAAATGCCTGAAGATGAGAGACCGTCATTAATGTTGCCCCTTTTTTGCAGCATATGTCCATCCTGCAGCAGATGCTCACACTTTCATATGTTTCATAATGTTGTTGTGAAGAGGAATTGTGTGTGTGTTGTATGTTGTAAGGTTAGAGCGATATATGGTATACCAATGAGCTATGAAACACCTGTATCGCTCTAACCTCATGCCTTCATTCTGTCTTTCTGTCATCGTCCTGTAACTCCATTGATGTGTTTGTTATCACCCAGAGGAGGAGAGGCCTGTGGTTGTCAATGTCACCGTCAGCGATGTGTCGTGGGACAGCTTCCTGCTGTCCTGGGCCACTGAGGACAGAAGGTTGGAGGGCTTTCTGATCGAGGTTACAGATGCAGAGACGGGCTCTGAGTGGCAAAACCACACGGTGTCCGCTGATGCTCGCAGCATCACCATCTCTGGCCTCTCCTCGAGCACCTGGTACAGGGCCAATCTGTACGGGGTGTACCGGGGGGCCCTGTTAGAGCCCGTCTTTGCAGACACCATCACAGGTATCACCGTTGTCAGCTGGGGCCTCACTCTGTCCTCTGCTTCCTTTTCTCTGCTACACAATTAACCTGTGTGGACTTTCGAAGAAATGGTTTCTTGCAGTTGTCAAATGGACCTGATTAAGCGGTGGTGTGGCTCACTTTCACTTTTATATTTACTCTGATGTTCATGGTGTTAGGTATTGTCAAAATTCCCATGCCCTTTGACGAACGTCTCTCTTAGTAAGTCACGTCTGCCACTTTAACTCAACAGAAATTCAATGGATTTCAAGAATATTCCTGAAAAGTCAAGTGATCCATCTAAATAAGCAGAAGCAAAAATAATGAACAAAGACAGAATATGTTCATGTGATCACAGATTGTAAAAATGTGTTATTCTTCACAAGCTTCACAAATTTCCTTTCCCATTCAACAGAGTAATGCACAATCCAGATCCAACATGCTTTTGATGCAGGGGACCATTGAATGTGTCTCAGCCTGCATGTTGGTTGGAGTACAGCAGGAAGCAGCACCTGGTGTTAGAGGACAGGCAGAAACACACCAGAAGGTCAGGGTGCTGTTAAACACAACAGGTGCACTGCTTTCCCCAATCACTGTCATTACCAAGGATAAACAGAGTGTGCTGTAAACAGGGAAACCAAAATGTGCTCATGATGAGCCTCTTAGAACCATCACAAATACAGCAGAAACACAACAAAATAACCCTATAAAACGATTTAAACTGGACCAGAATGTCTGAAATAACCAGTTAGGGGTTGGTTAACGTCGATCTCTATTTAAACATTATCATTCAGCTGATGAGTTCACTGATGAGGACCGGTCAAGTGGAAGAAAGATGGGAGGACTGACATTGGACAAAAAAAGCCTGAGGCGCTTTTGTCACTTTGTGTGAGGCCTCTGTTCTGTATGCATCCCCAGTCCGCTCTTCATTCTCATGCTGGGCTCCGGGCTCTGCTGCTGGGGTGCCAGGGGCTTCTGGGGCCGTGGAGAATATGGCATGCGCTCAACATGGCCCATTGTCTGCATGCTAATGGGTGGGGAAACCATCTTAACATTTCTCATTAGCATTACTTAATCCATAAAACATTCCACCTTGAATATGAGTGCTGACTAATGATGTTATGGTCATCTTCAGTCTGCTGCAGGGAAGACCCGCTCTGAAACAGGAGTAGGAAACTTTGAGTTGTATACAACAAATGATTGATGGAAGCACAAAGAGATGTGGACAGCACCCAGAACAAGCCTGACTCAGTTTATTCATATCAGCACAAGCTGCTGTCGTAAAGTTATCAGGCAGACTGGAGGCCGCTCTGGGCTTCTGCTATTCAGCAGGTTAGCTGGCGCCGGCGCAGACCTCCAACAACAGGCTCCTTTTGTGAGCGGGGATTGTGTTCCCCCTGGTCTTGGGGGTGTGGAGGGATATGGGTAGAGGGGTAGAAGTGGTGGGAGGGTGAAACCAGTAGCAAGCTAGCACATGTTAGCCGATGGATGCAGCCCTCCCTCTCTTCCACTGACCAGCTAAAGCTAATGAAGAGTGACAGCTCCTTGGGATTTGTCTGCTCTGCTTCTCATTTCCACTTCTCCTCACAACAAATGCCTCATGCGTTTTCCTTCTCGATAAAAAGAGGTTTTCAGGCTAGTTCATGGACCCCTGAGACCCTCGCACTTGGTGTAGTGTTTTAATGAGCACTGGCTGGGCTTTATTGAGGCTTTCCTGAGCCCACTTACATCTGCTTCTATCAGATGGCTCCATCTGTGCTGCTACCGGAAGTTTCTCCAGCTAATTAGCTTCAGGGAGCTTTTTCTCCAGCTGCTGTCCCCCAGCCTCTCTTCCTGCACTGCAAATTATTAGTGCTGTGTGTGATTAATACTAACTACCAGCTTTTACAGCACTCACATCTGCATGTTTGAACTGTAGGCTACTGTAGTTCATCTTTACTTTAAAATCCAGGAGAATTGTGAATCGGGTCAAACCAAGGCTGTTACTTTTTCAAAAACTTTTGAAAGAATCCTGTATTTAACTTGGATTACTTCAAGTGCAACCCAGAGAACCATCATAAAATGTGTTGCAGAAGTCAAATCAATCAATGAAATCTAAGGAAATTGTTGAAGTTTGAATGTGCTCAGTAAATCTGCACACAATCTTTAAAGCATAGCTTTTCTGTATCAAATATTCCCCATTTTAGTTTCAGTAGAAAGAAAAAGACAGTAGTTGGTGGCACACCTGAACATGAACACAACTTTTAAATAAACGGTGTAAACATGTTGTTTAGAAACCAGCTTTTTTTTACATCTTGAATTTCTTAAATTTACAGAATGCCAGGGAGGAGTAGTTTAATGATTCGAATACCCCTTTTAAACACACTTTATGCAATCATTGTTCTGGAAGCAACTAAGCTATTTGTTGAGTTAGCTACCAGTAAGTTAGCAATGAGTTTGAGGAACACAACTTTTAAACAAATTGTGTGAACTCATTGTAGCCTACTGTTAGGAACTAAGCTAACACGGTAGCTTTTTTGGTGGAGGGTAAGGCAGAGTTTGATTGTGGAATAAAAAGCTCTCTGTCAGACGCATTCTTCTTCTCAAATGTCATGACAATATGAATTGTCTTACTAACCCAGTGGCTTTGATAGACTAGTGAACTAACAACCTTCACATTGGGGGCTGAAATTCTTTTCTTCCTTCTATGTTTTTCACCACATCGCAGTAAAAGTCTTTATTTCTTGCCTGATGCTGCGCTTCCATATAACAATGCTGGCATTTACACATAGACTGGTACACATTCTTTGGCATCCATGTTCCTCAAATGTCAAAGCACTCCTTAGTTTCACAGAGGAGAATCTGACTTCCCCCTGTCACTCAGAGGCAGAGCCAGAGGTGCAGGCTCTCCTCGTGTCCGATGTCGGCCCTGAGAGCTTTAAGCTGGCCTGGGTGGCTGAAGAGGACGCCTTCGACACCTTTGTCATAATGGTGAGCCAGGTCGAGCCAGGCCAACCCAGAGAGCTGGTGCTGGGGGGCGATGAGCGGAGCACAAGCATCACAGATCTCACAGAGGACACCGATTACGAAATCCAAATCTTTGGGCTCTTTTTGGGAAGACCCTCCAAGTCTGTAATGGAGGGGGTGATAACAGGTACAAGCAGAAAGGATGGAAAGGAGAAATCAGAACTAAAACTGTCTACCGGTGTTGTCAGCGTGGTCAATGTTAAATGTCGTTGTATCTGGTATGGTATCATCTGGCCTCTTTGTACTAACCTCGTCACAAGGCATAACAGCACTGTATTCGTCCACACTGCAATTTGACAAAACAATAAAGGGATATTTATAGAAATTAATCAGTTTTCATTATGACTATTGTGTCAGAAGCTTTGTGTTATTTTTGGGTTAAAAACACTTTTTTCCCACTTTTAATTGGCAAATTGGTATCCCATGATGATCTAAATGCTGCGGATGCTTACCCATTCTTTAAATAATATAATTCATGGTATCATCAGCATAGCAGCATCCCAAACACTAGAGACAAGGCCTTCAGAAGTAAGGACATTTCCTCTGCTCCTTTCATTGTCTCGTCTCTGTCCGCTCGCCCTCCCAAATGTTGTCATTCACTGCGTCGGGGTCGCTCTTTGTAAATGTGTGCTTGTGTCCTCCCTGGGGGAAGGCTTTACTCTTGGGTTACGTGGCGCATGTTTCACTTTTGTGTTGCCATGAAATGGGGGCAAGTTAATCTCTTCAGGTCTGTCACGCGAGATACTGTGGCTCGCTGTTAGCCAGGAAGGGTGTGTGTGTGTCTCTGTGAGCCGGGCCTCCCCGGACCCTCTGTCTGTTAAACTGCTGGCTCTTACACATGCTCTCTTTCGCTTTAACAAGTGCCTTTCAATAACATGTCAATGTGTTTTTCCTTTGTCTGCTTTTAATTGTGAAGCAGAAAACACCTACGCTATATGTAAATGTCTTGAGTGATGTGTTGCCTACTGTATGTTCTGTTTACAGTTCTCTCCAGTGGCACACATGTTAACTAATCCTTTATTGTGTGTGTTTGTCAGACCTGGGCTCACCCAAGGGTATCCGCTTCTCTGATGTCACTGACACGTCCGCCGCGGTTCACTGGGTGGTCCCCAGGGCTCGGGTGGACAGCTACAGGGTCACGTATGTGCCGGCTCATGGAGGTCAGTAACACCCAGACACTACTGGAACAACACTGTTAACATGAAAGTGAAGAAAGTAAGCATTTACAGACAAACACGCTCCTGAGCAAAATACTTTTACCAGCTACAACTTCCGCCGAAAAACTGATTTTGAATCAGCATAAACCTATGAGTAACTTTATGGCCAGTATGGACATTCTCAGGTTACCCCTACATCTTCTGCAGGGCAAACTCCTCTTCTAATGATAGACTACTCTTGCCCCCTGCTGACTACTTTTAGGTACCTCTACTGAAGAGTGGAGTGGGGGGTCCAGAGCAAATGGAAATAATCACCATCATCTCTTTCAGTTTGAAAGAAAAACACAAATGCATGAATGGATATTATGTGGCAAGTAACGTCATGTCCCCTTCAGATCCAGCATCCATTATAATGAAGTGTTTTTTTTTTAAGTAGGTTCTATTAACCCATAAATATCAAGTTCCTTATAAGTTGCCAGGCAACAGAGAAAGATATGACACAACAAAAAGGGTGGCAGGTTGAACAGGTTTTAAATATCAATTTATATCCATGCAGACCTCCCTTTTCGGAAGATACTGGAGTCATTATAACGGAAGAACATTTGCAGTTCCATAGCGACATTAATCTGATGTAGAACAATAATATTAGTAAGTTAATTTTTATTTATCAAAGTCATTCCTCAACATTTCTCTTTTCAAATACAGAGCTGTAATGCCTAATAGTTATTGTTCATTATCAACCATATATTCTACAGTTGTGATGCTGAAGGTAATGGTAACAAAAATATCTGCTCTCAGTACCCTAACTGGCCCTAAAATGGTGTTCAAATATAATAAAGTAACTAAAAAGGTAACTGTATCCCCCTTAGAGTTACATACAAAAATAAGTAATCAGATTACTGGTATATATTTTTTTTAAATGGGGGATTACTAGCATTTTATTTCCTATCAATACAATCTCTCACATTTCTGATCCTAAAGATCTTGGTTTCTTCTTTTCTAAGGTTACATTATTCTCTTGTCTTACATAACACACTTTAGTAGAAAAACATTGTATTAAAATGTATTTTCTCTTTTATCTATTTGCATTGCTTTAGATTTTGAGGTACTCCAAAAGTAGCGGAAAGTTACATTCAGGTTACATTATTTTTATACTCGGATTAGGTTACTGATTCCATTAGTTTTTTACAGGTAACTAGTTATCGTAACAGAATACATTTTTGAAGTAACCCTTACAACACTGCTTGTATCATTATAGTAACTGCTGAAAGGACTCAAGGCTTACAACACAACCATTATTGGGACATTCATGATAATGTTAACATTCCATATTTTCTGCACTTTATTACAAAATTAAAAGAGACAATAGAAAAACGACACTCTACATGAGTGCAAAACGCCTAGGTCCTCAGGCTGTACTGTGAGATGTGAAGGTTGAGCCTTCTAATGTTTGCTGACCTCTGTTTTGACTTGCAGGTAATGCTAAGACGCTGACCATGGAAGGCTCTGAGGCTCACACTGTGCTGTCCAACCTGACGCCCGGGGTCACCTACGAGGTCACTGTGGTCTCTGTCAAGGGTCAAAGGGAGAGTGAGCCTGGATCGGACAGCGTCACCACAGGTACGACTGACATGTTACTGAAAGTAACAGAATACGTGTAACGGGTTCATGTAACAAGATTACAAAAAAGTAACTGTATACCCTTACCCTATGTCAGTGGTTCCCAGAGGCATGACTGGAGGGGTGCGAGAGACCAGGAGGAAAAATGGTTATTAAAAAAAAAAAAAATCATAATTTGAAAAATTATTGATTCCAAAATAATATGATACAGTATTATTACGTCCGGGTCTCTGTGTTTCATTAAAGCTCGGCTCTGTGTGTGTGTGTAATGAGCCATTTTGTGTGCGTGCACGCGAGAGAGAGAGCGCACCGGTACGGGAGATCGTTGTTGTTAGCTTCTGCTGCTAGCGAGCTACGCTAACGGATATAAAGAGTTTTTTCAACAACAAGGTGGAGGAGAGTCCTCTCCTGTCAGACTGAGAGACTCAGTGAACTAAAGGACTCTGAGTGTTTAGATAGTTAACTTTAGTCTAAGTTATCTCAGTGGGTCTCAAACGTTTTGTTCACCATTAATGTAAACATTTCCGAGGCACACGTTTATATGATCATTATAGTTATAAAAAAATAAGAGAATAAATAAAAAACAGGTTTGAAATACTATATGACAGTAAAAAAAGAATAAAGTTTAAAAGGGTGATTTGTAAAATATCCATAAAGAAAAAGTAAATCTGTTTACAGTTCTGTTTCAAATGAGTGTTGAGAGATGTATCCATAGATCTCTTCATTTTGCTCTCAAAGTGCACCAGATTGATGCTTTTAACTTCAATATTTNGGTAAAAGGAGGACCAAGAACGCCTGGGGGGACCAGTCGGAGAGCACGGGGGTCCCCCCCGCGCGGGGTGAACCCTTGGGACTCGATGTGACTAGTACGTTACAAGAGAATCAAAGACGTACAGATATTGTTACCCGTCCAACAAAATAATTTTCACGGTTTATTAATGTGACACTTTGTCGAACTCAAATTTCGTAAATTTCGCTTTTGACCAGACCAATTAAGGGAAAGAGTACTCCGAAACGAAACTGGATTGATAAGTAAGTATAGGAACCCGGAGCGACTGTGAACGCTTACCGGTGAGCCCGATCACTAATCTTTCGCGTCCTCAAGTACCCTTTTAAGGACACCAAAGTAAGCACAAAAGGGTGTGTCCCTATGACACAGATGGCGACTCCAGGGTCGGACATGTTGGCGGGGACCAACGCAACGTGAGACGCCGGAGTCTTCCACCCCGTTCAGACAAGCGCGCGCCGCACACCATCTGTTGGCGCTCCCTGCGTCGACTGGTCCCATACTGTCCCGGCTGGGGAATGAAACAGTCCCTCGCCTCCGTAAGGACGACTATGCGCGTGTGGTGTCGTGTGTGTGTTGTGTGTGTGTGTTGTTGTGTGTGTGTGTGTGTGTGTGTGTGGTGTGTGTGTGTGTTGTGTGTTGGTGTGTGTGGTGTGTGTGTGTCGTGTGTGTGTGGGTGTGTGTCGTGGGAGAGAACTGTCCTCTCTCGTCTAGGTCTGCTGCCGAGGACTGCTCCCGCGTGTGTGGTGTGTGTGTGTGTGTGTGTGTCGTGTGTGTGTGTGCTTTGGTGTACACCGTGTGTGCGTTTTGCCGTAACCGCTAGGTGAAACGGTGAGGTACAGTGTCGTGTCTCGCACCCCACGCAGAAGTCATCACGGTACAGGTTGTGCCGGTCGTTATGAGGTGCTAACCAAGGGGAGAAGAGACTCGGGCCTACGAGTAACCACTTCTAACAGAGACACCTTTTCCAACCGAAAGTGAAAGTAAAACATCTGTACGAATTTCACGTGTAATACTCTATGTGGATGGTCGGACGACGTGTAAATGGAGGGGAGCTTGCCCCCGGACCCCCCTATGTGAGGTCCACACACCACCTATAAAAATAGCACTTTACCCCTGCTTAACCCTATATGCCTCGAGCCTTCATTGTAACTGTCACACTGTGTATTTGCGTGGGGAGTGTTGCAGTAGAAAATTCCACTGTAGCGCCCGGTACATTAATGGGAAACCCTAAATGTTTGAGCACCCTCTATGAAACGTCAAGCTACCCCACAGCACCCCAAAATAAATATCTGAGCCTGACTATTTGTGTTGGGGGGGGCCCGACATATTTTTTTCTCCAAAGGGGGGGCCTGACAGAAAAAGTTTGAGAACCACTGAGCTAAAGATTAGATATGGCAATGAAAAACTGAAGTCACAGGCTCCTCCAACCGTGCAACATGAATATATAAAGGACATAAACAAAACAGATAAAATAGTGCAAGAGAATGTTTTGAGATGTACAAAAATGTAAATAAAAAAGAAATAGTGCAAGAAGAGTACAAGTAAATGGAATGATATATAGATAAATAATTGGCAAGATGCAAACAGATGAATGTTTATGGATTCACTTTACAAATAATTAATTATTAATAAAACTGTCCCTGAGTCTGGTGGTTTTTGTCCTGATACTGCGGTACCGCCTGCCAGACGGCAGCAGACAGAACAGTTGCTGGGGCGGTCGGGGTCTTTGATAATCTTGTGGGCTTTCTTCCTGAGACGCTGGGAGTAGAGGTCCTCCATGGATGGCAGCTCCGTCCTGGTGATGTGCTGCCGGGGTCTTTAGGAGTATATATGCAAAAAAGAGCTCCTACTCTTTGTTCTGCTTTGATTGAGTTGATTAAAGGTTATAATACTACAATGTTAACTAAAAAACATGCAACATCCTGGTATATCAGGATGTTGATCAAATAGCATGATTATCAGAAGTGTGCCTTTGGCTGACCCCAAAGGCCACTTTTGTGCCTGTTTTATCTTGAAAATATACAATTAATAGACACTGAACTTTCGATTTCCTATTAATAGTGCTATACATAATGAATATCTTAAATCACAACATTGTTACATGTATTTATATATAGAATGTAGAAAGCTATCTGAATAAATAACGTAACTCTCAAAAGTTACATAAATATGACTCAGATATCCGACAATAGAACTATACAATCATGTGTCTAACAATTCGAGAGTATAGCCTACCGACATATAAAAGTATTTGGGGGAATGAAACATCTCAATGATCAAGATGACCATTCTTTGAGTCAGTGAGGATAGTTTTTCATATTGACCTGAGGATTGCTAATCAAGCTATTACAAAATATATTCCTTGCAGGTACCATACAATGGACGATTATCTATCAAGCATAACAGAAATGGCCAATGTCAGTTTTCAATTATTTTAGTGTAAATAATAATTAATGCAAGAAGACGAAGTAGAGAAAATTACATTGCAGCAAAACCCGCGCTTTTATTTTGTAGGCCGCTGCCGCCTCACTTCCGCAGTGCCTTCATTAGCGCAGCTAGCTTGACGCAGCGGCGGAAAACCAAACGGAGGCACAGCGGATCAATTCGGAGCCACGGCGGTTGATCGGGATTATGCGGCGACACTGATTGCTGTACCGGTAAGAAACTGCGGCCTCAGGCCGCTCCAAACGAGCCCTTTGACGGTCCGTTTGTCCTGTTTGTTGTTTTACCGCAAACCACCTAGCTTAGCGCCCGTGCTTTCCCTCCCCTCTCCCTTTGTTCGCTTGCGCCTCTTTTTTTTTTTTTGCGCCGATGCGGGTTTTGTAAATACTGGCGCAATATGGCTGCCGTCTCTGCACATATGTTAACATGTTGGGGTGTTATAAACTGTAGTATGTGCTGGCCAATTAATGAGGAGGAGGGTAAACTATGACTTCTGGATAGTCATCTTCATCATCATCATCAGCCAAAACAAGCAGCAACAACAGTGATATCCTCAGAAACACATCACTGACACCCTGCTGCTGCAATGTTACCTGAGAATGTGCCACAGTGGGGGATGAGTTCATCTGTAGTCTCTGCATGGGTTATTACAAATGAGTGGCATAATGTTATCGATACAATGCTTCAGCAAGCACTACACTTCAATACCATACGCCACAATATCAAGAGATGCAACGATAAGTCGACTAATCGATCCGTGGTTCCCAATATCTTTGAATGGGAACCCCTATTTTTTTCAATCTATAAACCGACTGACGCCCCCTGACTCGCATTAAGTGACATTAGGATAGTTCATATAATATTTAACACACAACCATAGCAGTAAATTACCTGCACACTGTACCCTTATTGAACTAAAACAGTGAGTGCAATAACAGCAGGAAGTTTGTAATATTAGCATTTTGGAAGAATGTTTTGCATATTGTTTAAGTTTAGGCCAACTCATTATTTAAAGTTATTTTACACCCTTTGAAATCATAGAGCCTTGTGACCCCCATTAAAGGTTGGCTTCCTCTAGCAGGGGTCATTAAAGTATTATTTTTATGGAAAAAGGCCAGGGGTTGCAGTTTTAATCTCAAATGTTTAATATCATATTTAAGTTAATTGTGTTGTGTTTTGAAGTGAAAAAACTAGACACTTGAAACCATTACAATGGACTTTGAGAAACGGAGATGAACATTGTCTGTTTTTAAAATACATTTGATTTATGACAACAATGAGATTGTGTGCCAGAGATGAGATGTTATGATTGCTCATGATTGCAGGTTTGGTTTGCTTTAAAAACCATCTATTACAGTAAATTAATCAATATGCAATTATGTTGATAATTTATTTATTGTTTCAGGTAGTTTTCAAGGTAAACATGTTACTCACACCAAAAAAAATCGGCTGTTGCTTGTAGTGAAGTTCTTGCCTACCTTCTCCAGAAAAAAACGGGTAAATAAATGAATGATGAATAGCAAATTCCTGAAAGTGATGGCAGTTGTATTTTTCCCGCCTCACTATAGATTGGTGCAGTGAACATGTTTTCTGTTTTTGCAGACTCTCAAACCAACCTCTTAAATGTCTGCAATCAAAAGTGAATTATTGCATTTTTACAGAACACTGGTGTAATGGTGTTTGTCACATGGAGCAGCTGTCAGGAGTCCACTGCACTTCTACCTTCTCTCAGACTGAGGTCCTTCTCACAGCAGTGAAAGGCTTTAATCCAAACATCACAGTAAAGCCAGGACTGACACACCCCTCAGCCCTCAAACTCACCCCGTTTACACGCCGCAGCAAAACACAGCCAAACTCACCCTGAGCACACACAAAGTCACAGCCGAAGTAAAAACAATAAGTGTGGCTTGATATTGAGTAAGAGAAAGGTTGATAAACGCTGTGAGAATGGGTCTGCAGAGAGAATTTCGCCGCGATCCCAACTGTCTGTTATCAGCCTGCAGCCAGGGAG